GGGACTTGAAAAAAAGAAAAGAAAAAGCAGCCTGCACTTCCCTGAGGGAAGGAGACCTTATCTTTATCTCAAGCTCTTTCAAGGATGAGCTCTGTGAGGGGACCTTGGGTGAAACCCTCAACCTCTGGGGCTCCCATGTCCTCAGCTATAAAGTGAGGAGTTGAACTAGATGAACTCTCAGATTTCTTACAGCTCAGACATCCTAAGACTTTATAAAATAAAATAGATGTTGGATCCAACAGGCAATAGAAAACAACTCTGGGAACTCCAGCAGGAAAAGGATGTTTTTTTTTTTTTTTTGTGAGGACATGACTGGCATCTCAGAGTCAAGGGGAAGGCTAGGGACTCAGGCTCAGAACCCAGGCAGCATGGCAGGGTGCCAGGTGTGTGGGTTAGAGAACAGGGACAGCTCAACTCTGCTGCCAGAGCCAATAAGCTCTGGTCTTTATTCCACCTTCATATCGTCGCACCCAGTCCCAATAGAGAGGGTCAAATTGATCTAGCTCAGGTCGCATACCATCCCTCAGCTGGTGGGTCTGGATTTGCAGGTTGCAAATTACCCCCAAGACACTGTTCAAAGCCAGCCTCAGCAACTTAGAGAGGCCCTAAGCAACTTAACATATCCCTTTCTCAAAATTAAAAAAAAAAAAAATTAAGGGCTGGGACTGTGGCTTAGTTGTAAAGCGTGTTCAGTCCCTGGTACTCAAAAATAAATAAGTCCATCTCAGTTTTATTAAATACTGAGTAGTGTGGTGGTTTTTATGTGGTCTTCTCCCAAGCGTTCACATGTTGAAGACGTGGTCCCCAGTGTAGCAATGCTAAGGTCCTTTAAGAGGTGGGGCCAAGAGGAGATCATTAGGTCACAGAGCCAGTGCCCTCAAAAGGAAATAAAGTAGTTCCCATGGGTCCCTGAGTTAGTTGTTGAAAGAAAGTAATTATTAAAAGAGTAAGACTGGGGGGCTGGAGTCGTGGCTCAGTGGTAGAGCGCTCGCCTATCACGTGCAAGGCTCTGGGTTCCATCTTCAGCACCACATAAAAATAAATAAATAAAATAAAGGTACTGTGTCCAACTACAGCTAAAAAGTAAATTTTAAAAAAAGAGCAAGACTGGGCCCTTGTCTGCTCTGCCTTCCCATCTCACCTTGTGATCTTTCCCTCTCACATTCCCACCACGATGCTGTGCAGCACCCAAAGACTTCACCAGAGCTGAGCCAAGTTGGTGCCATACCCTCAGACCTCGAATGTGAGCTACATAAAACCTCTTTTCTAATAAAGTACTGAGTCTAGGTATTTTGTTATAATGGACTGATACAAGTAGGTACAAAAGAATAGTTTAAAATATATGCAAACTATACAGAATCGTTATACAATGAACTAACATGTACAGTACCCACCACCAATTTTATAAAAAACAAAAATTATCATTGTGCTAGAAGGCCCTAGTGTATGGGTTGCCAATTCCATCCCCTTGTAAGTAACCACCTGCTGAATTTACAAGCAACATCTGTCATTAACCAAGAAGAATATCGCAAGGGAGGAGCAGGTTGGGAAGAGGTGAATGCCTGTCACTGGGGACACACAGATTGGAGACGCTGTCCCTCTGTCACTCACAGTCTGGGGTTGGGAGGAGACAGACATGAAGACAATTAGCTGTGGTACAAGCAGGACATAAGAAACACTATAGGAGGACTACACTCTAGGGAAACACACGCACAACAAGAGACATTATTTAAAAGACACTAGGTGGAACAGTACAGAGGATTTTGAAAGCTGGAAGGAAAGGGCACAGGTAACAAGCAGAGGAAAGGCAAGGAAGAGAAGGTGGTTTGCAGGCTCCATTCAAGGGTTTCTAAGTACAGAAGAGGAGAAAGTTGAACTTAAAGCTAGGAGGACAGAGGTTGGAGGAAATCCTCAGGAAAGTGAAAATCCTTCTAGAAACCAAAACTTGCAGCTTAACGTTTGGATGATGTTATTTTCTGCAGGCAGAAGTCTGGAAGTTTGCCATGTAGGTCTCTTCCCCCTCCTTTCCCCGCCCACCTGACTGTCGCCCCTGCATGCACCATTTGCCACACACCGCCAACCCTGCCTCCACAGCCTCTCCTCCATCCATCCCTTTTTCCGCTACTCTGATTCCACTGTGACCGCTCAACAATTCAGTGACTGTGACAGCCTCCTGGCACGGTGTCTTGTTTCTTCTCTCCACTCTCCAACCTGCGCCTGAATTCTTTCAATAGAGGGCTGAGGTCCTGGCTGCTAGCAGAGCCAGCGCCCAAGGAGACGAGTATAGGTCATAGCTGACATGGGTCAATAAGTCATAGGGAGGGGACCTGGGGTGGGTAAAGTCCGACTTGAACCAGTTGAACAGCAAGACATTTTAAAAGTCAGGGTCAGCAGTGTAGATAGGAAATCATGAATCATGCCAGGCACCAAGGACCATAGGTTCTTTTTTAACTGGGACCAATCCGGGGGAGATGGGATCAGAACTACCAGACAAAAGGACACCCAGGACCAGTGTCCAAGCACCAATCCCAGGGAGAAGTCTTCAAGGTGCCTTCAGCCCAGCCTCCCTGCACTCCCAGGAGAAAGCCCTGACATTGCTCTGACTGCAGCCCTTCCTCGGGCACCTCACCACCTCCTATTCCAATGCCCGCCTCCACGCCACAGAGCCCCAAGAGGGAGCAGGGCAGCCAGACAGACCTGGGATGCCATCATGCAGTAGCCTTGAGACAGTAAGCAAATTGGTGAACTTCCTTCGGCCTCAGCTTTCTCAGGGAGAGTGACACCTGTCTCGAGTTGTCACTGTGAGGAAGAAACAAGAGCATACCTGGTGCACACCTGGTATGTAGTGGGGGCTCCCTCGATGGGCTCTTCATCTAGCCAGTGTTGGAAAAGAACCGACTGTGAGCCAAACAGCATCCCAGCTGCCAAGGATGCCACAGGGGGGAGGACCACTCGTGCAACTTCAAGTCCACAGAGGGAGACGGCATGGATTAGTGACCACAGCATGATTGAAAAAACAGGTATGAGAAGAGCGATTGGGATGAAATCCTCAGCAGGAGGCCAGCACCTTGTAAATGACACTTACCTCACTCTGTGTGTCTTGTATTTTAGCAGGTGGTGTGCCTGTCCTGTCCCCTCTGCCAGCTCCTAAGCCCTTGGTGGACAGAGAGCTGGCCATCTAGGCCTTTGTGAGGTTCCCAGCGTCTATTAAAGTCTTCCATTTTAATAAATAAGTGAAATTAGCTTCCTGAAAGCTGCCACAACTTAACAGAATTTGAACTTAATTTATGCCTTTTGTAAGCCAAGTTCCCACTGATTTCCAAGTCATTTGTCAGAACATAATAGGTGATGTGCCCGGGAAACAATAATTTGGCTTTTCAGAAATGGTATAATATCCATACCTCATAGAGTGCGACACTCCTAGCTCCTGCCGAAAAAATCCCAGACCCGAGCTGACTCACCTATTAATTAGGGATGTGAAGACAAGAAAAAGTAAGACTAGCAGCATTCCATTGGCCAAATTTTCAATTTCGAAATTTTACAATTAAAATTTCAGCTTGGGACCTAGCAATAAATAAAAGAAAAAAAGAGAGAGAGAGGCAGGGAGGGAGGGAGAGAGACAGAAAAAAAAAAAAAAAAAACAGAAAAACCCCTCTGTGCTGGCACATTCATTCCTATTGAGGCTGCTTGTCTAAGGGAAGAAAAAATATCTTTTCATCTACCCTGGTAAGATCATAGATGAGGCCCCTAAAACAAAAGATTAATAAGAGAAAAAAATACTAATTTGTTTTATTTATATAGTATGAGAGACATCAAAAGGAAATGAGGACCTACGGAATAAGTTAAACCCAAGGGTGTTTTTTTTTCTAGTTTTGATGAAGAATGGAGAGTAAAATATGATAGAGCAGAAGTCGAATGCTCGAATGACGATACACTGGGGAACTCTGCCAGGCCTGTCTGTTCACACTCTTCTGTGGCCCGAGTCTTTGGAAACAAGAATGCTCCTTGCTTCCACAGAGGGAGGGCGCCTCTCACACAGGGATCTTGTGATCTGTTTCAGAGGAAGGTCAGAAAATATTTTATCGTCTGCTTCGGGGAAGAAAGGTGGTAGGGGAAGAGCAGAGTGACCTTCCTCCTTCTGCTGTTTGTTCAAAGTCATTCTATTTAAAATATTCCAGTGCCATATTTTAAGGCAGCATGTCCTTAATATCAATACTAAGGACATAATATCAATAATTACATAATGGTAATTATTATTACCCATCACTTAATATTAAGTCTGACCCTGCAATTAAACTCTGCCCGTCTACTCAGATAAGCAATCTTAATCATATGATGATTTTCGGAAGATGACATGTAAACTCTAGGAAAATATTTTGGTTGTTTTTCAACATGAAGAGCTGTCCCCTTGCCTATATGTGCTTTCTATTATAATTAATAACTACCATTATTCTTGACATCCAGGAAGGCCGTCACAAATACGAAAGCCACAGAATGACACGAAAAACACTTTGCTGTTAAACTTAAATACCCAAGCATTTCATTTAAGTCATTTTATTTTGGTATCCGTGAAATGTTTTTAAAACATTCTAGTGCCAAAAGGAGGCAAGATTAATAAATGCAAACAAATGTATAAGCAAACAGCCCAGGCCCTCCTAAGCAATTTGCCAAATACTAAACAATCTTTGGTATAGGAAAAAAGTCACCCAGTCAGAATCTGCAATGAGAGAAAGGACTTTCATCCTTGACCATTCTTGGTCAAAATTAAAACCTTGGATCCATTGTAGTGATGGATGAAAATAAGAGTTGAGTGTTCTCCTGTTCTTTCCGTGGGTTTCACCAGAAATGGGTTTTCCTTGACTCACGCTGCTTCCTTGAAAACAGGCTCATTCCCTTGATCTCTTGGGTCAGATGAAAGCTCTGAGCTACTTCCCATCAAGCAGTCTGATTCCCACGGCTTTCCTAGTGTGAGCCTCAGCTGGACCCAAACATTTACCAACCTACTCATTCCCAAAATAAAATTATAAGCATTCTTCAACAGGGTTCAGTCCAATTTGCTCAGGGATTATCTGAAGATTAAAAAAAAAAGGAAAAAAAATGTTATTCACACAAAAAGTTTGTTAAGTATTCCCTAAATTAGAATCGGTAGGAAACTATTTTAAATCATTTATAAGAACACCAGAAAACTTCCTCAAGACAATTTCCACTCCCCTTATGCAATGGAGCCCCCGTTCTATCCCCAAGAAGACTGTGTGGGTAGAACTAAAACTTCTGCCCCTGGGACAGAAGAAACCTAGGGTCTCCCGAGCTTCTGCTACCATAGTACCTTGGTCTTTCCCTCTGAATCTATTAAATGAAAATATAAATGTTGGTGCAAGTTTCTTTAAATAACAACATTCCATGATTCTAGTAGAGACAGAAGTTGAGATTAATTCTTTCACCCAACAGATTTTTATGGAAAGTTTAATAAATGTGAGGCATCGTGTCCCCTGAGTGTGGGGTCTCTATTATGCTCTCCTCTGCCCCTGAGAACAGCCTATCATATAGCTTGACACTGTTTGTTGGAATTAGAGGTTCCCTACTCTGATTTCTCCACTCACAGCCTTGTTACTTTTGCCAATGAGTAGAAGAATTTTTGACACAGCAGGTAATAAAGAGGCACTTGGTGAACGGCCAAAAAGGAGCTCTCATCTGCAAGACTGAGCAGCCCAGAGCAAGAGGCATCAAGCATCATGTCCCACAATACTTCCTTGACAGGTCTTATGGCTATTCTAGATTCTATCTGGGAATTTCTGAGCCAACAGCAGACCCTGACTGCATCAAGACCCAAGCACTAAGCCCTGCCTCTCTTTTGTCCTGAACAGGAGTGCATCCTGGGTACTTGGTGGCTGGTTAGACTGTGGAGCTGACTGTGCAGGGTCCTTTGGTTGTCTCTACAAATCTGCTCTCTACTTACATCCACTCTGCCTGGTGCCCCTGAGGCCAACCTCCATGAACTGTCTGAACCAGGTCCAGTGCCAAATGGCCGCAGTTGAGTGTGGCCAGTGGAGAGTAGGAACCCAGTCCAGCAGAGCAGGAGTATTTAATTCTCTCTCCTGGGCAACCACAGGCTATAGCATCCTCTGCCAGATCACACTCATTCAGACTGCTCTCCCCACGTTCTGTGTGTGATTGTGTGTCTCTGTCTCTCTGAGCTCCTTGCCCCTTTGGCCTTAAGGACAGTAGTAGCACCTCACTGTCACTAGAGCCAAGGTGCTGACCCCCAACTTGGCCTTCTCATATTCTGATTAACAGGATCAAACTCAATTTGGATATAATACCAGTTTCCTTTTAGGACCTTTACTGACAACAACTCAAGTATTATGAAGAGTATATAACACAGTAAGAAGGAACTCATAAATTCTAGTTTCCCTCCTGTTACGGTTTGGATCTTAAATGTCTCCCAAAGACTGTGTGTTGAAGGCTTGGTTACCAGCCTGTGATGCTACTGGGTTGGGTGGGAGGGGGGCTTTAGGAGGTGGGGCCTAGTGGAAGGAAGTTAGGTCATTGGGGGTGGGCCTTTGAAGAAGATATTAGGACCCCACTTGTTCCTCCTCCTCCTCCTCCTCCTCCTCCTCCTCTTCTTCTTCTTCTTCTCTCTCTCTCTCTCTCTCTCTCCCCCTCTCCTTCCCTCCCTCCTTCTCTCTCTCTTTCCCTCCCTCCTCTCCCTTTCTCCCTCTCTCTCTGCTTCCTGGCCACCATGAGATGAAGAGCTTTGCTCTGCCACATGCTCCCCACCACGATATTAAGTTCTGCCTCACCACAGACCCAAAGCAATGAAGCCAAATGACCAACTGAAACCTCCAAAACCATGAGCCAAAATAAAGCTTTCCTTTTTTAAGTTATTTTCTCCAGTATTTCATCACAGCAATGAAAAGCTGACTAATACACTCCCTGTTCCTTGTTATATTTTTTTTCTACTACATTGGTTATAGAATGCCTTTAACATAGTAACTACTTAATAAATATTTTTACTTTATAAATATTTGTTGAATGAGGCCAGGTATGGTGACATATGTCTGTAATCCTAGTGGATCCTGAGGCTGAGACAGGAGGATTGCAAGTTCAAGCTCAGCTTCAGCAACTCAGGGAGGCCCTAACAACTTAATGAGACCTTTTCTCAAAATTTAAAACAAATAAAAGGGCTGGGAATGTAGCTCAGTTGTAAAGTGCTCCTAGGTTAAATCCCCAGTACCCAAAATAATACATATGTATCTAAAATGTGTACATATATTATGTATATATTATATATTATGTATTGTATATATTATGAATTATATATATATATATATATATTGTATATATTTGTTGAATGAATGAAAAAAGTTTCTAAGGCACTTCTGATCACAGTTTTAGATTATAAACATGGAAATCTATGCGCAGTCATCTATATTATCCAATGTTACATTTAAAGAAGTTTCTTATCTCAGTAATCGGAGGGTGGGGATTCTGCTTTGCAAATCTCCTTTTCTTTTTTTCTCATGCTGAGACTGGCTTAACTCCAGGAAAAACAGTGCCAAGGGATGAGCTGACATCTCAGGGGCAGACTAAGAGATTAGTTTAATAGACTGCAAGATTAGTTTACTGATCCTTCCTAGATCTTGGAGAAAATAGTGATTTGAGTGCATATCATCTAATTCATACAGACTGACTTTGCAAGATCATCACTTTCTACGTCCTACAACCAGATCGAAACATACTTTAGGTTAAACTGCACCTCCTTAAATCTGTTCGTGTTTATAATGAACAAGCTAAACAGTCAATGAAGCCGAATCATCACTCACCATGTGTATTGATCTCGATGATGAACTGCAGAAGTTGCTTCCAGTTCTGGTATTGGGGGGAGCACTTCCTTTATCTGAGCCAAGGGCAGCCCCGGTGTGGACTCTATTATTTAAGGAGAGCTTATTAGTCTATATTTAGTCAACAGCAATGCAAAAAGAGACACATGTGACTAATGCAGAGAAGATACCTATATTAGATATGCTCTAATGTAGGAAATGCAGGAAGAGAATCCTACCCAATATCTAAAGAGGATTTGGTAATTTCCACCACCCACTAAATTTCCTGCCTATAACTCTAACACCTTCAACCGTTTGTCTCAACTCTGTTTCGGTCCTTCATTCTTTCCCTCACCTTCTCACTTCTTTGGCACAAGATGTAAAGCCTAGTTAAGGATAAGTAGTGCAGAAAAAGCTTTCAGAACACAATGTTAAGTAGCAAGAAAAACCATATTAGTTTGTCCTATCACATTGTTGAAATATGCTCCTATGGAGAATATGAATAATGTCTTCAATTTTAGGGACAATTTTAAGAAGCACAGTTACAAATTAAATGAATTCTAATCTGTCTTCATGCTTTATGACTACGTGACTCTATAAAATTCTTTATTCTTCTAATATTATCTTCAGTTGACTTCAAGTTAGGAAATGAACATCCATGTCCTACATTGCGGCATCTCTTTCATTTTCCTAGGATCTGGGGTCCTGATTCTAGTTTCTATATTCAAACTTGAGTTCTATAGAATACATGTGGGTTTTGCTTGATCGACATATCTACCTTTTATGTGTGAGAGAGAGAGACTAGGAATCAAAATAAGGGGCCCTCTTTAATTTTTATTTTACTTTGATACACGGTCTCCCTAAATTGCCCAGTCTGGCCTCAAACTTGAGATCCTCCTGCTTCAGCATCGTTGTTACCTGGGATTACAGGCAGGTCTACCACACCCAGCTGACATCTCTACTTTTGATGCAAAACCCTGAACTTGGGTGGAAATGAGGTAACAATGGTTCAAGAAAAGTTAGTGTAGTTGCTTCTTTGATTTCTGAGGAGAAATCAAAAGAGAATTTTTGAGCATTCAAGAGCATGATGCCTCTTGTCCACGGAGATGATTAAACACTGGCACTGGTCACCCAAACAGAAATACTGCAGAATCTTCTCCCAGAAATTTTTCTTTTAACTAGAAAATTTCTTTTAATAATAAAAACTTTATTGGGGGCATTAATTTTCTAAATAAGGAACACATTCCCATGATTCAAAATCTAAAAACTATGAAGAGATATTCAGTAAACTGTCTCCCTCATCTCTAGTCTCCTAGACAATCATTTCTATCCCACCACATAGTTCTTCTTGTCTTCCCTTCATCTGCCACAGGCAAGCAAGTTTGCTAGTATGTGTGTGCATGTACTTGTATAGTAGTATATATATAGTATATAGAATATACCTACTATATATATATATATATATATATGTGTGTGTGTGTGTGTGTATGTGTATGTATGTATATATATATACATACATATATATATGTAGGTATACATACAAACACTTAATAATATATCTTGAAAGAGCCAGATGTGATGGTGCACACCTGTAATCCCAGAGACTCTGGAGGCTGAGGCAGGAGGATGGCATATATATATATATATATATATATATATATATATATATAATATTATATATATTATTCTGTGGATGTTTTGTTTCTATTTTGTTTAGGATTTTTGCATAAATTAGATTGTTCAACATTTCATTTTAGAGTCAGTCTTTTTTGGCTTTGAACAATACTATTAATATTAGGAAGCATCCTTTTTTCCTTTGATCTGTGCTTTGGATAAGGTTTGTCCCCAAGGATTCATATGTCAAAAGCTTGTCCCCAGTGTGGTGATGTTAAGAGGTGGTAGAACTTTTAAGAGGTGGGGTCTAGTGGGAGGTCATTGGGACCCTCAGAAGGGATTAAATAGTTCTCAGGGGACCCTGGTTATTTCTCTCAAGAGGGTTGTTATGAAAGAGGGAGCTTGACCCCTCCCTGTTCTCTTTGACTTCCTGTGTGATGATGTGATCTATTCATCTCATACGTGCTCTTGCCACTGTGGTACCATTAGTCATGAGGTCTTCACCAGAGCCATGCAGAAGCTGGAACCATGCACTTGAACTTCAAGAACTGTGAGTTCAATAAATGTCTTTTCTTTATAATGTACCTGGCCTCAGATATTTGTTATAGTAACAGAAAACAGGCTGATATAAACACTGCTGGAAACATCTATTTCTTTGAGTTGATAAATGCTCCTGCAAAATGATCTTCCTATTACTTTTTAAGGAGTAATTCACACATTTTCTATTTCCTTTCTTTCTTTTTCTCAATACTGGGGGATTAAACCCAGAGCATCACACATGCTAGGCAAGTGCTCTACCATTGGGCTACATCCCCAGCCCTTTTGATTTTATTTGGAAACAGGGATCATTAAGTTCCTCAGGTTGGCTTCAAATTTGTGATCCTCCTGCATCTGCCTTCCAAGTAGCTAGGACTACAGGCATGTGCTACCACCCTCAGCTCACTCTTTCTATTCTATGACAATTGATTTGATCAGATTTTCTATTTCTTCTGGTGTCAGATTTTATAAATTTCCCTAGAAAGTTATGGTTTTTAATGAAAAATGAATAAAAATCAAGATAGTAACTACTTTTTAGAAGGGGCAGGAATTAATAGAACATTTCTGAGGCCATTTCCAGCAGATAGTCCATGAAAATGATAAAGTCACAACTAAAGTTAGAATTTTTTCTTACAGAGCATTTAATTTTCAAAGGAAAAATGACAAAAGTTCCCTAATTAGCAAAAAGGTGGAAAAGGCTCAGTCTTCACATGGACCCAGATCTCCCATTTCCTGTTCTTGTTTCCTCACAGACCCTTTGCACATAAGTCCCTTAGCATGCTTCATTTTTATTTTACTGTAAGTACCAATAAGATCTATGAGTCTAGCTCTATGAGCCCAGTCTCACCCTGAAGGTTCCTTCAAGTGTGATTTCTCTTTCTATACCTGAGCTTCAGGAAGAGTGATCCTGGTAGGCAGAATTCTAAGGGCCCCCAAATTCCTACCACCTGCCTTTCATGCTTCCTGTAATCTTCTCTCCTTGAGTGTGGACAGCACTGTGAAAAAGAATGGGGTTTCTGCTCCTGTGATTAGGTTATATTATATGGCAAAGATGAAGGGATTTTTACAGTTAACTTCTCAAATCAATTGATTTTGAGTTAATAAAATGGGAGACCATTTTGAGTGGGCCTGATTTAATAAAGCAAAAGTCTTTAAAAGAAAGACTTAGCTCTCCCTGAGATCAAGGACTCTCCTGCTGGCTTAAGGATGTAAACTGCCCTGTTCTGAGCTGCCTCCTGGGCAGGAGAACTTCTAGGTGACCCCATGACCTGAGGGCAGTCTCCAGAGGATGCCCAGTAGAAACCCAAGGCACCCAGCATACATGAGCAAGGAAATGAATACTGCCAGTCACCTGAATGACCTTGGAAGCAGTTCCTCCAAATGAGAACGCAGCTCTGCAGATACATATTAACTTCAGCACTTAGAGACCTTGAACTAAGCCACGCCCAGGTAAGCCACGCCCAGACTTCCAACCAATAGAGATTCATATAATAAATGAGTATTGTTTTAAACTCATAAATGTACGGTTAATTGGTTACACAATAGAAGATACAGGGTCTTGGGTTCTATCCCAGATCTTTTGAATTAGAATCTCCCTTTGTAAAAGCCTGGGATCCTGAATTTTATAGACCTCCAGGTTGATTCTGATGCATGTGGCAGTGTCAGAATGAACTTACTGTGCAAATAATTGCTCAGACATTCTTTAACCAAGCATTTTATAACTTCCAGAATTCGAGATTTGGCGATTGTTCTTTTAAAAGTTTATAATAGCAAAAGAGTCTACTCATAAAACTAAATAATTATCAAGGAAAATTAATAGAGCTCTTTCAGTTGGAAAGTGCTCATCGTTTGCTTATTCATTCAGTTGGCTATGTTTTATAGCACCATATAACCATAATTTATTGTAGAAAGCTATTACCTGTCAAAATGATGGTTAGTCTGGAGTAATTCTCCAGTGGTGCATTGTCTTCAGTTTCTCCTGGTATCCAAAGTCATGTAACTTACATGCTAATAGCAAACTTCTAAAAAATTGATCAAAAAGTAGGATACATGTCATTTTAAAACTTTCTTCAGAATAGCTAAAATGGATGAGATCTTTTTCTTGTACTACATTGGGGAAATAGAATTTCTTTCAAATATCATTAATTTACCAACACGAGTTAAGGCAACAGAAGTCATCAAAAATATTTTTAAATTCACAGATGTCTTTTCATGAATTTGTCAAATCTCTGAATCTCTGAACCAAACATTTTTTAAATGTTTTTTTAAAGAACCTCAGAAAACTCTAAGAGATTAAAAAGAACCTCAGTGTGAATTTTGACCTGGCTGAATTCAGCAAACAAAATGGATTTCCATCAGTAGAAACTTTGATAAAAGATAAAACTCTATGTCTTATGTTCTTGAATAAAACCTTCTCGCTGTCTATGGCAATGTCCAGGTTGCCCTGCGAGGCTTCTTTTCTTCTTCTTTTTATTTTTTTCAGTATTCCTGTCATTTTTCAAAGGTACTCTATACCTATGACATCTACCATCTAACTTCAATTCAACTTTCCAAAGCTACTGATTCCCACTGCTTAACGGAAACTTACTACATGCTTTCGTCATTTTGTTCCTAATGATCTTCGCCTCAAAGACGAGGCACATCTCCCACCCTGGGGGCACGTCTAAACCTCTCTCTCAGCCTAGCCAGTCTCTCTTGGCTGCTGGAGAAATTTGCCCATCATTTTTTAACATTCTTATCTCCAAAACTACTTGCTCAGCTATGTCTTACTTGGTTATTAAGTTGGAAAGCCCCAAACAGCTCAAAACAAAACAAGGAGGTGTAAACAGTGTTAGGTGACCATACACGCTATGTCCCCTGTGCCCACTTCCCTAGTAGTGGACTTCTCCAATAGAGGACTTAGCAGATTTTGTTGTAATTGCTCATTTGTCTCCCTCTCTGAGGACAAAAATTATG